ATGGTAACTTACATACTGGCTGTCACATGTTATGCTCCTAAGTTGTTTGGATAATTAATATTTGTATAATATAATCTAAAGAAAAAGAGGTAACTTTTTTTTAAAAATCTTATATCATTATTGTAGTATTGTAAAGGTATTTAATCTTTTCATTATTTGTAACTTATCAATTTAGAGTTATTTCTCAATAATGAATTCAAAATGCTCTATACTTGAATATTGATTTATTGAATTTAATATGATAGTTGGAAAACGTTTTTTTTTCTTCTTCTGTTTGGCCTATTTGTTTGACATTAAGCGGTAGATATTGGACATATCTACCTGGCAAGGGAACTTATAGGCTATGTTCTATTATTAAGCATATAGTTTTCCATTAATACCCAAGAACTTTACCAAGCCGGCATACATATATTTGCATTAATTTAATTTCATTATTTTAAAAATCATTTTAATCACACAAATATTTATAACTTTTTTACACCATAAATTTTGATTCTTTTTATTCAAAAAAAAAGGTTCCGTCTTAAGATAATGTTTGGCATTGCTGTTGGTAGGTCAAAAGTGTTTTTGTAAGAGTTTTATTTTTCTTTATTTTTTTTAAAAAATAAGTGTTTGACATATCCTTAAAACTGATTTTAGATGAAAATAGAAATAATTTTTCGATTATTGGAAAAAAGCTAAAATTTCTACTTCTTTATAAAAGTAGAAAAAGAAACAGAAAATATTATTTTGAAGATAAAAATATCTCTTTTATATATACATATTAACGAATATATCCATTACTAATTGATTAGCGAATCATAAGTCTGGTGAATGTTTACAAATTATTATTTATATTTTATATATTATTTTACAGAATTATAAATAAAGGTAACAACAACACTTTGTAAGATTAGAAATATAAAGAACTTTATTAATTTTTATTGTGAATTTTTCTTATATAGTTGTTTAATTTGTGGAGTGCGTTTTAAATTTATTTTTCTTGATATTTTTAATTTAATTTAAATCGCCGTGTTATTATTATATTAATATTCTATATATTATTTTACATTTTTATTTTACCTAATTAGAAGATAAATGTAACAACAATATTTTTGTATGACGAAAAATATGAAGAACTTTGTTTATTTTATGGTGAATTTTTCGTATATAATGGTTTTATTTTTTTAAATTTATTTTGCTTGATATTTTTAATTATATTTTAAGTTATCATGTTAATACTAAATTATATTTAGTTTATTCATTTATTACGTATAACATTGATTGGAGATTTGATTACGTACATTTTACAATAATTAAAATAAAATTTAAATTAAAGCATTATAATAGATGTTTAAAATAGTTTCTTTCTATAAAGTAATCTTAATACTAAAAGAACGTTGATACTTATCATTTTTAATAATCTAACTTTCAAAAGCACTTTAAAAAAAAGTTTAGTCAAACACAAAATATTTATCAAGAGCACTTTTCAAATGATTAGCAAACTGAAATTGTTTATTTTTTTTTCAAATACATTTTTAAAAAGTCATTTTTTTAAAAAATACTTCTAAATATAAGTAATTAACAATAACAATATCAAACAGACTCTGAACCATATAATATTATGTAAATTGAAAAGTATATAAAGTAGGTCCTCTCAATTAATTTCCAGCAAAACCTTTCTCTTTCTCTCCTCCAAAGCAAAGTTCAGGTAATAATTATATCTAATTTGTTTGAGTTTTGTTAATTTCTTGGCCTTTTTTCTTCTACAAATTATATTATACTATTGATGAATTTTTGGTTCTTGCTTTTGAGTATATATATTCAAGAATATGGAGGATCTCTTGTCTGTTCACAGTAGTTTGTGTACAATAATTGAACTCTATTCGTTGGCTCTTGCCGAGATCCAACTTATTTTTAAGCCTATTTGAATCCAAAGTACAATTCAACAGGTTACAACTCAACTCAATTTCTATTTCAACTCATTTTAATATTTCTATATCAACCCATTAACACCCTTATTTTATATAGTTAGGCATGTCTTTTGGTAAGTGCTGAAAGACTGTCATTCTTTCTAAGCTACTTTCATCGGTTAACGAGTCCAGTAAACTTAAAGTTCCTAGACATCAGATGTGGTGTTGAGTTCATTAAAGTTATTCGCATATTAGAAATCTCAACCTGACCTTATACCTCTAACTAAACACCTATACTACAAAAAATTTGTACCTATTATATTAAACAATATTTTGGATGTAATGTTAATTTGGAACGTATTTTGTTATGTGTTGAAAGTCTCTCTTTCTTTCATGCTCACTCAAACTTAAGGTATATTCATCGTTTATGAATCCAGACTTGACGATGGAGTCAAGCAACCCAAAGGTCATCACATGTAAAGGTGAGTAATCATGGAGATTGAGATCTATTTTTTCCCCCCTTTATTTTCACATTATGAGAAGATTTATGCATTAAGTGTGCGTGCAGCTGCAGTAGTATGGAAGGAGGGGGAGATGATGAAGATCGAAGAGATACAAGTGGATCCACCTAAATCAAATGAAGTTCGAATTAAGATGCTCTTTGCCAGTTTGTGCCACTCTGACATTATCGCTTCCAATGGCTTTCCCATTGTCTGTTACTCTGTTTCCCTTTCATTCTTCTCATCTTTCATTTTCTAATCCATCGGTTTGTTTAATTTGTTCTTCTTCTTTCCTCTCCAGCCTTTATTTCCTCGAGTTCTTGGACATGAAGGAGTTGGGTACGAAAATCTTCTCTCTCTGTTTCATTCTATGCAGAACATGTACCGGTCCAGGGAAGAGCCGGACACAAGGGTCTACTACATGTAACCTTACTCTGCATTTCAGCAAGAGACTGTTTACATGGCTCTGACCTGTGATGGCAACAATGATCTAGTTAATTCTTGCAAATTGATTCATTTAGCCAATGTCGACTTATTTGAATTTGCAGCATGATAGAAAGTGTGGGAGAAAATGTGACAAATCTAAGAAAAGGAGATATAGTGATGCCACTTTATTTGGGAGAATGCAGAGAATGCCCAAATTGCAAGTCAGGGAAGTCCAATTTATGTCACAAATATCCCTTGACCCTTTCTGGTCTAATGTTGGATGGCACAACAAGAATGTCCATTCATGGAGCACAAGTATTATACCATAGCTTTAGTTGTGCTACTTGGTCCGAATATACAGTTATTAATGTGAACTACGTAATCAAGGTTGATCCTCAGAAGATTCCGCTTCAACATGCTAGCTTGCTTTGTTGTGGATTTACAGCAGGTTATGGAGCAACATGGAGAGAAGTTCATGTTGAAAAGGGATCAACTGTTGCTGTACTAGGTCTTGGTGCTGTTGGACTTGGAGTGAGTACTACTACATTTTGACTTAGCTCGACGTTTAAAGTGGTACTAATAAAATAAATTCATGATGTATGAAAAATATTTGCAGGCGATTGAAGGAGCTCGAAGTCAAGGGGCATCGAAAATAATTGGTGTTGATATAAATGAATCGAAACGGGGAAAAGGACAAGTGTTTGGAATGACGGACTTCATTAACCCTAAAGAATCCAGGACATCAGTTTGGGAGATGATAAAAGATGTTACTGAAGGCTTAGGTGTTGATTATGTTTTCGAATGTACTGGGATTCCATCCATGCTTAATGAAGCCATTGAAGCCTCAAAATTGGTAAATTTTTTATATATTTTGTTGATAAAGCAGATAAACAAACATATACAGAAACTTACCAACATTATATTCTTCTTGTTAATCTCAATTACTATTAGGGAATTGGGACAATTGTTGTAATTGGTGCAGGACATGGACTTACTAGAGAATTCAACTTAGTTCCCTTATTATGTGGTAGAACATTGAAAGGTTCAATCTATGGTGGAATAAGACTTCACTCTGATCTTCCTACTATACTTCATAGATGCGCAAATAAGGTACAATTTTTTTTATCTCATTAAGTGATCGAGCCAAGATTTTCATTAAATTTTTTTTAAAATATTAAAAAAAGTAAGCACATTAAAAAGTTGAACGAACTTTAATATCTATTATAGATACATTAAAAATATTTTTAATTATATATAAATAGTGAAATTTTCCGTTGAAGGGATAAGTGACCCAGTTAATTATCATCAACTACAATAATACCCACTATATATAGTTGATTATGTAATATTAGTATAAAATATTACCATGAATAGTACTTACCATGTATAGTTTTCTTGTAACTTATGAGGTGATATCCTCCTTCATTTTCTAAAGAATATATAGAAATCAATGTGTTTCTCTTGTTCATACGGTATCAGAGGCTAGTAGAGAATTAAAGAGTTTCCACTATTGATGGGTGACTATTTCCATATATATATGTTGCTCGCTTGATCAAAAATTATGCAAAGTAAAAGTTGCGCCACCTTACATCTTTCCGGTGGTTACCTTTTTATATCCGACTTGTGTAATACCTTGTTATTTTTGGGTGACTACTTTCTCATACTTGATTTGTGTAGCACCATTCCAACTTTTGATAACTACTTTATCATATCAGATTTGTGTGGCACCGTGATATATTTTTGGTTATTAATTACTTTCTCATATTCCATTTGTGTAGCACCATGATATATATCCGGTGACTACTTTTTCATATTCGATAATCGTAACACTATGCCATCTTGTTAGTGACTACTTTCTAATTTGTGTGGAGTCGTGCCATCATTCCAATCTTGACCATATAATTTCTCTTTTTGAATAGGGTCGTACCATCATTCCGAACCTACCCATATAATTTCTTTTTTCAATAGGATTGTGCCGTCAATTCAACCCTACCTATATAATTTTTATTTTCCAGTTGGATTGTGTCTTCATTCCGACCCTATCCATATAAATGTCTTTCTATGTAAGGTCGTTCCATCATTTCAACCCTGCCTACGTAATTATATCATTTCTATTTCCCAATTGAGTAGTACCTTTTCATGAAGTATATCTTTTCAATTGAATTGACCCAATGAAATTAACTTTAAGACCCAAATATTTTAATATTGTATTACATATAAATTAAGCTTCTTTAGATGACAATACATTCATGTACAGATATATAATTAATTCATAAGTCCATAAAATAGAAAAAAGTTCTCTGTAGACTAATATTTTTTTATTACATTTTTGCAGGAGATTCAACTAAATGAGCTTATAACTCACCAAATTCCGTTGACTGAGATCAACCAATCATTTGAGTTGTTGAAAGACCACCATTGCGTCAAGATTATTATCAAGTTCTAATAAATTAAACCAATTGTTAGAACATATTAATGCATGGTGAAATTATATACTCAATTATGAAATATGGTTTGATTTATATATGCACTATATATTGTATGCTTATGATAAATTAAATAAAACATTGTATTGCTATACATAAATGTGTATGCCATGTGGCTTATACACTATTGCAGGATTGCTATTCAAATATCAGAATTATAGCAAGATTTGTTCCCAAGTTTTAATTTCAAGGCTTATAAATAGCCATCTTTCTCTATTTATTTTGTTTAGTTCTTTATTTTTATTTCATTTTAACAATATATGTGAGTTGCAACTTTTATTTACCTTTTATACTTTTAATATTATTAACAAAAACTTTGACTACGCTATTGAGTATATAACATTTCATTCTCTTTAATGTTCCTCTCTTGTGTATGGGATGTGAGTTATTGGATCAAGTATCTTTTCAATATAACAAAAATAAAAGTTTTTTTTCAGTATAAACTGATTTTTAAGAATCACATGCAAAAGATGATTATTATTCCTAATTTAATGGTATAACAAGTAATCAATTTAACTTATATTAAGAGATACTTTTTCATCCTCAAACAAAAACACTACAAAAAGAATATCAAAACTCGGTAAACTTATTTTAGCTCTTTAATTACACGATATTTAAGCACCCCCTTAACGATTTTAAAGTGAATTAAATACCATCGTTTAATTATAATACTACTCTTACATTCCACAAGCTTGTTACTGGGTCGGGCCGCATTAGCCTAGCCCATTAACCTTGTATGAAATCGGTTTATCGACCGGGTTCACCACTGATGTGTCGGCCTGGATTGGGTTCCCACTGATGTGTCAGACCATACCAATCTGAATAGTATTTTGGAAGAAAAATAACCGGACCACAACCCATGAGCAAATTCTTTCGGACCTGATGGGCCTCTTCTGGGTTTGGCTCATTGGGCTAACAGACCGGGTTAGACTAATTTTTTTTAATCATCATTTATTAATTCGAAAGTATGAGTCAATTGTCAATGTAGTGTATTATTTTCTATTTAATTTTAAAATAATTATAACTATTTATGAAAATGGATTGATTACATTTTATTATTAGAAAGAGCTAATTTTAAAAAGAACTGAATTAGAAAGAGCTAAATAGAAATTTGGGCAAATTAGACTTTTTTTTGGGTAAACTTCAAACGACCTTTTCTTTTTGTACATGAAGAGTTAGGTAGCCCATGTGATATCAAATGAACGATCATTGATTCCTCTTTCCAACGCCACTAAGTTTGATAAATTTCGAATTCAGATGAGGGAGATATGCTCGTTTGGGTTCACCCTGCTTGCCAGCTAAGGATATTCATCTGTATTATGGAGGAATATTCCGGTCTTTTCGTTGCCCCGCTAGTCTAAAATCTTTTGCCCACCAAAGTTATGGGGACTAACCAGATCAAGTCAATTGGGATTCATTCTAAAATGTTCAAGAAAGCTAGGGCAAAGTTCAGGAGAAAAGAGGAGTTTCAATAATTTCTTCAAGATTTTGAAGAAATCGACAAGAACTTAGTTCCCTCAAGGTATGTAAACTTTAATAGTATTGGATTTGTTCGTCCTCACTCCAATCATGTATAATTTTACCCATGAATTCATTCTTGATGTTGTTTATTGACTTCTTGAGAATTTCTTGAGCTTAATTGTTAATTGAGGTCCTTGAAATTCTTGAGGCAAAGTTTTGCGAGATAGTTGAGTCTCTTTATTGAGTTTTGTGTGGGTTTTGCTGAAAATATTCTAGATTTGTGAAATTTTGTGAAATTGGATTATAGAACTGAAGTGGGTATGTGTTGAGTCGAGTTTGAGAGAGGAAGAAACTATTGGGAAATATACGCGCCCAGGTCTACGCCGTGAAGGCCCTTTAAAAATTCAGTCCCCAGAAAATTTCCCTCCTCGCCGCGTCGAGAAGGAAATACGAAGTTCACTATCCCAAAATTTATTTTTGGGACCAAAACAAATAAATCCCCCACCGCGTCATGCCAGTGTTCACTAATTTGTGTGTTCACTAATTTCTTATTATCAACTATATAAACTCCATTGATCATTGAGAGGTCCTACATTCCAAATCATAATTCTTGAAATCACATTGCAAATTTAATATAGAGTTAAGAGCAATGTTCAAGGGAGTTCTTCGAGTCATTATGAGAAGTATTTCACAAACTTTTAAAATTTATTTTTGGACTTGAGCACTTGAGTATACGTGTGAGGAGAGTAGAGTTCCATTTTTCAAAATGAATATATGGGGACTAAGCATTCCCAAGAGTAAATGTTTTACATTTGAAATGAGAGGAAACATTGATTTCCAAATGAGTTCGTGAAGAGATTTTGAGCATAATCTCTTTTAAGAGAACCTTTTGAGTAATCAAAATCATAAATAATGCATGTGTCCATATCAAATCAATTACAAAACATATAACTGAATCAAATGATGCATATTAAGATTGAAATCAACAATTGAATCATAACAAATAGGACCTATGGAGAATTGAGATCAAACCCTAATCAAATTGATGAAATTGAATTACAAACTTGGGAGATATTTTGGGATCTAATGGATGAATAAATCCAGTGGTGAATTCCAACATGATCAAAGTCTAGCAAGCAAGAAAGAAGAGACTTGAAGCTTGGAACCCTAGATTTCTTCCTTGAGCTTGAGAGAGAATTGGAGAGAATGAACTTGGATGTGATTTAAGGATTTCAAAGAGATTGAGAGGGTTTGGGTAAATTTAGGAATAGAAAGGTAGTTATAAGGCATATAATTAATGTTAAATGACATACTATTGGTATAAAATGCCTAGGAAAAGACTCTAATACCCTTAATATATAACTGTAAAATAGTCTTACGGGTTGGACTCACGGTTCGTAGAATTATCTACGGCCTGTACTGGTTCTACAAAAACCCAAAAATTCATCCAATTTCCACATAACCTTTCTATGGCTCATCGTCTAGTCTATGGTCTGCATACCCCTTCTGTAGAACACCACTCCGAGTCAAAAATTTCACTACATCTGGATCCCTTCTAAGAGACCCCTTCCATGACCCTTATAACAAACAATGACCCGTCAAATCTTCCGTAGGTTTGAGTTATTAAATCTAATCTTTGAATTCTTTCTACAAAAGTCATCTACGACTCGTCAAACTCCATACGACTTATCATGCCAAGTCATATGCCAAACTTCAATAACATGAAATTTCTAAAACTCAACTCAACTCAATTTCTATGATTCCTTTCTATGGTCGTAGGGATTTCTACATTCTATGTTTTGTAGATTAAACTTATAGTTCACTACTTTAGTAAAATTGTCGGCATTTTTTTTCAATTTGACTTTATAATTTCCAAGTGTTATAGGAAGATTGTTGTAGGCGACTTTGAAACTATTTCTCATGGTAAATCATTTGGTAAGCCTTTGTGACCATGAAACTTCAATTCTCTTTTATCATTTATGGATTTTAAGAACAAAACTTCAGGGTTTTTTCTCATGAACTTGAGTTCTAAACTAAAATGGTGAATGTGAACTGATTTTAACCCCTTTCCAAAATGATTCCAAATGGCTTGGTTGACGTTTTCAACTAAACATTTTTCGTATTCAAACTTCATTTGTGGAATTGCATTTTTGAGTTGATTAATCCATTTTTTTAAAATTTAAGATTTGAGTTTGTGTTTTTGAAATCTTATTGTGATTACTTGATTTAATTAGATTCGGAAAGAGAAGGCTCAAGTCTTGGAATGATTTTTGTTTGAATTTAAGGCAAGTGATCTTCTAAACCTTGTAAAACTCGTAGAATTGTGTATTTTCCTTTATTGTGTGTGAAGGAGTAACGAGAATGAGGTGATGGTTTAAATACCATGTGATATTCCTTCTCCTTCATCTATTTTCAAGGCTTACAGAGGATACATTAAGAGGTACTTGTTTGTCATCCGGCGGGTTCTCTTGATCCTTATTTTATGCTTTGTTCTATTTGAGAAACAAAGGAATTGTGACTTGTAGTTGTCTTTTGATATTATACTTTATACACTAGTGACTTGTACATGTGACAATTAGAATGACTAAGATTTCCACTCTTACGTTATTATTTTTTTACTTTTGATATTTCTTTCGTATTTTTGGGTTTGAGACTGAATTATCTTGATGGAAATAAACAAGTACTATCACGTCTATTTTTGAATCATGACAGTTTCTCATCGGGAAAAAAAGGAGAAAAAGATTTCATTGATTTTCTTGTAAACTAAGAAAATGGCGTAAAAAGTTTTTTTTAATCAAGTAGGTCTTAGAATCGTTTCTCAAAAATTCATCTAACCTTTCTATGTCCCAAAAATTGCACGTAAATTTGTGATGTAGTAAAGAAATGAGATTTGTGATGTAGGGTGTGTTTGGTATGGAGGAAAACATTTTCCGGAAAATGTTTTCAATTTTCTCATGTTTGGTTGGGTCAAATATTTTGAAAAATGTTTTCCAAATCAACACATTCCTCAAATTTAAGGAAAATGACTTCCCTTTAATACTTAAAGAAAACATTTTCCAAAACTCTCTTCCAATCTTCCCCTACCCACCCCACCCTACCAGCCTCTATCCACCCACGCCTACCAACCCCCCAACCCACCCACCCCCATCCCACTAGCCCCCTACCAGCCTCCACCCCCACCATGAAAATTTTTTAAGTTTATTCTTTTTAAAAAAATTTCAAGTTCAAGAATTGTTTTCTACTCTAGTAAAAAATAAAGTTATTTTCCAAAAACATTTTTTAATCAAAAAACAAACACTAAAATATTTTTTCGGAAAATATTTTTTACTCACCAACCAAAAATGAGAAAATAAGTCAAATATCTACTTGTTTCCAGGAAAACATTTTCTAGAAAAACATTTTCCATGGAAAACAGTTTTCTTCTTACCAAACACACCCGTAGTAAAGATATGAGATTTTCATCAACAAAGGACGAGTTGTGAAACACTAAGATTT